CGTGATGCTCTCCTCATCCCCTGCGTCACCACCCTAGGCTTGGACAATGTGGAGTACCAGTTTGCAGTGAACAATGACACCACAGAGCTACAAGTTCGAGACCTGGAGCCCGACACTGACTACGAGTTCTATGTAGTGGCCTACTCCCAGCTGGGGGCCAGCCGCACCTCCGCCCCCGCTCTGGTCCACACGCTGGATGACGGTAAGTGCAAAGGACTGCAAGGCGCGGGGAGGGCAGAGATTCCCTGGGGACTCAGAGTAACCCTGGAAAAAAAAAACCCGAGTCACCACCATTGAGTTAATGGGGACTCATATTGACGCCCTAGGGCAGGGTGGAACTGTCCCTGTGCCCTTCTGACACTGTAATTGTTAACTAAAGGGAGTAGGTCTTTCTCCCTCAGAGCGGTTGGTAGTTTTGAACTGCCGACCTTGTGGATCACAGCCCAACACATAACCAGTATGCCACCAAGGGCCCTCAGAGTAGCCCTGGCTTCTTCTTATGAGTGTACAACAAGGTATTTTTATGTGCCTCAACTCATATTGTGTGCCCCTGTGCACAGGGAGGAGACTGAAACCGCCCCCCACCCCCACCCCAATGAGAGTGGCCTGCCTAGGGTCAGTCGTACAGCTGGGGTTAGGGTCCAGGTCTTGGGCTTCCCTGTTCCAGACATCCCTGCACACCCACCCACACCCACCTCAGGGTGGGGCTGGTCATGGTCAGCGTTCCCGTGGAAGCTCCTGTCCCAGACCTTGCTCTAGCTCCGTGCTGGGAGAGATGTCCTTTTCTCACACAAGTAGCACCACCACAGAACTGTGGGGACTCTGGGGCCAAGTCCCCCTCATCCGCCAGCCTGGGGCTCCCCTGAGAAGCCCCCTCTGCTCCCTCCGATCCTGGCCTAGACAAATGTCTGACAATTCCTGGGCCTCACCCTCCTCATGCTGATGGTCTGTCTCTGTCTTAGTCCCCAGCGCAGCGCCCCAGCTCTCCCTGTCCAGCCCCAGCCCTTCGGACATCAGGGTGGCATGGCCGCCGCTGCCTCCTGGCCTGAGCAATGGGCGCGTGGTGAAGTACAAGATCGAGTATGGTTTGGGCAAGGAAGGTGAGTGGGAACAAGGTGTGGGCTCTGAGGCACAGGGAATCACACGTGAAGGCTTGGTTAGCTCTGGGGCCTCATCTGGCCGGGGGAAGTCAAAGGAAATTAATCGGAGGGGTGGAAAGAGACCCTCGAGCGGGCAGGCTGGGCATGGGACAGCAGGAATAACAAGGGAGGATAAAGATCGCTAGCACAACCTCCTCAACATCTGCTTTTCATTGCCCTGTGGAGTCCCTGCCTCGGTTTCCCCATGGGTGAGATGGGACAGGAGCCTAGGCAATCCATAGGATCCCTTCCAGCTGAAAGAGCCAGTGAGGAGGTGAGGGGTGTGCTCACCGGGTTGCAGCAAACCGGGCACAGGGGAGGAGGCGCTGGGCACATCTAGCAATCTGGGGGAGTTGGGGGGATGCCCTGAATGTGTAGAAAAGAACGATGGTAGCTAGAAATCAAGGGGAGGGTGGGAAGTCTTGGGGTGTTTGTTGGGGCTCCTGGAGGCAGATGGTGCCTGGTGGCCTTCACGGCGCACCCTGTCCTTCCCCTTGGTGTGTCAGGAGGCAGAGGGTCACATGCTGATTCTCCCTACTCTGGGGAGAGGTCTACATCCACCAGGATGGAGGGGGGCACCCAGGAGCCCTATGCCTGGGGCCAGTGTCAACCCAAGCACTGGGTGGTCAGTACTGTGGGGGCCTGAGGCTCTGGTGCGCCCCGAGGAACCAGGGTCTGTGGTGGAGGTCCCTGGTCCTCAGGTGGCCACCCAGCAGCCCTCTTTCCTGTGCCAGCAGATCAGATTTTCTCCGCCGAGGTGCCGGGGAACGAGACACAGCTTGTGCTGAATTCACTCCAGCCTAACAGAGTGTATCGAGTCCGGATCTCAGCGGGGACAGGTGCAGGCTATGGGGCGCCCTCTCAGTGGACTCAGCACAGGACGCCGAGTACGCACAGCCAGAGTCACGGTACGGAGCTGAGGGGCAGGCCAGTGCTGCGAGGGACTGTGAGGGCATCTGTCTGTGTGCCCTTGGAGCCCAGCACCCCACCGCCCAGGGTTCCCCACTGCTTGTCGGGCAAAGGAGACCTGGGCATGGAGGCTAGTGACACACATCTGTCTCTCTTATTGGATCTGCTGTGTGACCAGGACAAGCCCGTCCTGATGCTGAGCCCTCTGCTACCTCAAGGGGGTGGCATCTCAACTAGCAATGCAGCCTAAACAAAGCGCTTAGTACATAATACGAGCCCATTAAGTCGTCGCTGCTTCAATGAGGATGCTCGCTGGCTCTGTTGAGAGGTCATTTAATGTGCAGGCTGGAGCTGAGTCCCAAACCTGTAGAACTCACTAGTCCCGGCCCTGGGCTCTGATGCTCGGTTTCCTAATCTGTCAAATGGGGATAGTGGTGTTTGAGCTCTTTGCTAGAGCAGTGACCATAAAGGTAAAACGCACGGACAAAATGTGCAGCAGAGAGACTGACCCGAGCAAGCTCCCCATCTGGTACAAGCCCGCCTTCCAGCCTCCCAAACCCTGGCCAGTACACAAACGTCTGCCCACTCTCAGTCGATGCCCAGGGCACACCCTGTGCCCCTGGCACCCTGTGGTTGTCCAACAGGGAGTTGGCCAGTGCCCAGCGTTTAGGGTGCATGAGTGACTGAATGGGGTGGCCTTGGGGAGTTCGGGCAAGGCTCACACTGACTAGATGTCTCTGCTGTTCGCTTCCTTCTGCCTCCTCCCCCTTTGGCCCGGCCCTCCCTCCGGTTCTTATTTCCCCCACTCTGCTGTCTTGCCTCTAGTCCCCTTCGCCCCTGCAGAGTTGAAGGTACGGGCAAGGATGGAGTCCCTGGTGGTGTCCTGGCAGCCACCTCCCCAGCCTGCCCAGATCTCTGGCTACAAACTCTACTGGCGAGAAGTGGGGGCTGAGGAGGAAGCCCATGGCGAGAGCCCCCCAGTGGGCCGTGGAGACCAGGCTTGGGACGTGGGGCCTGTCCGGCTCAAGAAGAAAGTGAAGCAGTATGAGCTGACCCAGTTAGGTGAGGATGGCTGGAGGGTGTGGGAGTGGGGGACCCTCAGGACCCTGTAGCCAGCGAACGGCCCTCTGATCTTCCGCAGTTCCTGGCCGCCTGTATGAGGTAAAGCTGGTGGCATTCAACAAACGCGAGGACGGCTACGCGGCAGTGTGGAAGGGCAAGACCGAGAAGGCCCCCACCCCAGGTGAGGACCGCTAGGGGCAAGGGCAGGCCGGCTCAGGCTCAGAGTTGGGGTGCTACTTCTTCCTGCTCCCCTCTGAGGTGGTCTGCTGGCCTCAGTGCCCCCTCGAGCTGATTCTCCTAAAGTGGGTGGACCTCTTGTGGCTCCAGAGAGCCTCCCTCTGTCACAGTGAGAAGAAGTTGTAGAAGCTCCTTTCCTTCTGCTACATAGGTCCGATGCCCAGCACCAGGTCTTGATTCGGAAGGCTGTGACAACGGAAGCCTCACCATTGATTGGTGGCTCCTGACCCCAAGTTTGACCTTGGGGGAAGGAGCCAAGCCACCTGGTACTAATTCAGCTCATGCATTCATTCAGCAAATACTTATTGAGCCTGCTATGTGCCGGCTTTGTTCTGAAAATTTAGTGGTGGACAGCACAAATTAGGTATCTGCTCTCGTGGGGTTTATTTTATTTTATATGTGTAACATAATGCCTTCTGTCTACTTTACAAATGTTGACTGCGTTATTCCTCAGCACAGCCTAATAAGGCAGCTCTGCTTTACAGAATAGGGATGGGGCCCAGAGAAGTAAAGCACCTTGATCGAGGTCACACAGCTAGTCAGTGGCAGGACTGGAATTTGAACCAGGGAAGTCTGGCTCCAGAGTCTGTACTCCTCACTGCCACGGTGTGCTGCTGCTTCCCATCACATTCCTACACACACATGCTCGGTGCCCTGCTAGATGTGTGACCTTGGCAGAGATCACGTACCTTCTTGGGAACTTCCATCCCTCATCTCTGTCATGGGATCAATGCCACCTAACTCACAGGGTCAGAAGGGCAGTCCCACGATGCATGTCAAAGGAGACATGGAACCATAATGCGCGCACCCCCTGCTGATGCTCGTTTTCCAGACCTGCCCGTCCAGAAGGGGCCGCCCTTGCCGCCTGCCCACGTCCATGCAGAATCCAACAGCTCCACGTCCATCTGGCTTCGCTGGAAAAAGCCGGACTTCACCACCATCAAGATTGTCAACTACACCGTGCGCTTCAGCCCCTGGGGGCTCCGGAATGCCTCCCTGGTCACCTATTACACCAGGTGGGGGAGAGGCTGGTGCTTAAAGGGGGAGGAGCGACAGGCACAGGGAGGGGGCTTGGCAGCCCATGGCAAGGGGAGGGGGACTTGCTTACTTATTACCCTGGGGACACATGGAGGGTCTGCGTGGGGTTCCGCTTTCTTGCCCTCTGGCCTGATGGTAATAGGTGCAAAGAGAGAGTCCTCTGTCCTCGCCACAGAGCTTCATGCTCAACTCTGGAGACTGAGGGGCAGGATGGAGGCCCTTTCTCTCCAACCTCACTGAGCTCCCAGTCAGAAGGCAAGACAGAGCCCGGGGTCTGGCAGAGGAAGCAGATTGCGTACAAAGCAGTAGAACTATGTAAGTTTAAGCCAGGTAAAAGATCATACGAGATGATTCCTGGGGTGGGGAAGGACTTGGATTAATCCAGGAAGGCTTCCCGGAGGAGGGAAGAGTGACATCAGGGGGCCCCACATGTCTAGATCTCTCTGCCCATCCCCTTTCCAGGCTGGGGCCAGAGCAGTAGGTGTGGAGGAGCTTTGCTGAGTCGATGGTCTGAAAGTGCAAGTCACCATTTCTTGCCTTGACAGCTCTGGGGAAGATATTCTCATTGGTGGGCTGAAGCCATTCACCAAATACGAGTTCGCGGTGCAGTCCCATGGCGTGGACATGGATGGGCCTTTTGGCTCTGTGGTGGCGCGCTCCACCCTGCCCGACCGTGAGTGAACCCCAGCCCATCCTTTATCCAACGCCTGTTCCCCCAGCCTCTTTCCTCAGGCATCCCTCAGAAATCTGTAAGCGGTGGCCCCTTGCCCGGTGTTTGTATCGATGGCCGCTGGACTGGTCTCAACCACTTACCCCAAACCTGATGGCATGGTTTGGAGTGTGAGCCTGTGGAGGAGGCTGTGGCAAGACCTCCCTGACACTGGCTGGCCAGCTGGGGAAGCAGGAGTCTTGGAGTCCCATTCTGGACCCCATCCTGCCCCTGATACACAGAGAGACAGACAGACCCCTGCCTGCCGCAGAGCCTTATCTGTAGAAGGTAAAGATGGCACCATTCAGCCTGCAGATGTGTCTCTTGGACACGGACCCACCCGTTAGAAATGGCGTCTTCGGAGGCTGTTTCCCTTTCCCACCAACAGCAAAACTTTGTCCTCGGCTTTAGGATCTGAACTGGTCGGGGGGTGGAGGTGGGTAGGGAGTGTGCTATGGGGAGGCCCTCAGCACTCAGGCACTGCCTTTTAAAAAGATACATATTCCTCACTTACTATCTCATTATCTGACCGTTTGCATTTAGAAAAGTAGTTAAAAATCTACTCTCTGCCTGCTTACACATTAACAATGTCTATCTGGTCGTGAGAGACGTGTGGGGCAAGAGTAACCCTGACGGTTAAGGTCCTGTGTCAACTTGGCTGGGTCATGGCTGTCAGTGGTTTGGCAGTTATGCAATAAGGTGGTCACCCTCCTTTCTCCCATAACGTCGGAGTCTTTGGAACCCAATCATCGGCTTACACATAGTTCCTCCCCCATCTGTAACCTCTGTGACCCTGACTCAGGGCTGCACAGAGACTTTTGAGAGAACAAATGCTTTCTCAAAGGAGGCTCTGTAGCCCTAAATTCCCCAGCTCACCTGATGGAACTCAAAGGGGCGCTACTCCTCTCCTTGTACAGAGTGGTCCCTGAATCCTGAGAAGCAGAGATCTACCAGAGCTCAGAAAGGCGGCCTGGTGCGTGGCTCTGTTATGCCTTAAAGCCCCGGGACCCCATCACACCCCTAAGACCGGAGCCCTTTCCCTACTGCCTGCCTCCAGGATTAGCCCCAACTGAGGCCTTTCTCTGGTGGGGCTCTCTGACCCTGTGGGAGCCTAGGGTAGGCAGAGACAAAGACTGTGCAGGGCATCTTCATGTCCAATTAATTTTACTTGAAGATTTTCTAGGAGGATTTGGAATTTGAGATGATAAATGATTTACAACCTTATTTTGATATTAAATTTTACTGTGGAATCAGTGCACACATAGTAGAGAATTGAAAACAAAATGTAAGTCTTCCAAAAAGGCCTTTAAGCTCTGGCCCAGGCCTCTAGAATACTGGGACTACCTCCTCTACCCTTGGAAGTTTTTACATGTGGAAGGAAGTATCTGTGTATGGAAGTTTCTACCTATGGAAGTATCTGTGTATGGAAGTATCATGTACCGATGGAAGTATCTACGTATGGAAGTATCTGTGTATGGAAGTATCTGTGTATGGAAGTATCTGTGTATGGAAGTATCTGTGTATGGAAGTATCATGTACCGATGGAAGTATCTGTGCATGGAAGTATCTGTGTATGGAAGTATCTACCCATGGAAGTATCTGTATATGGAAGTATCATGTACCGATGGAAGTATCTGTGCATGGAAGCAGTATGAGGAGGAGAGCTGAGTTGGAAGGGCTTTCTGAAGGGGGTGGGCTGGGGGTGGGGGGATAGTGGTCAAGCCCTTTCTCCCTACTGTTTCTCAGCAATGCCAGGCCTGTGTCATGCTGGCTGGGCCCTGTTGGGTTTGTGGTTTGTTCCAACAAAAGAGAAGGCTGACCATGTCCTTAGCCTCTTCCTCCCAGCTGCCACAGAGCTAAGGCTCTCAGTGACCCTGCCTCTTCCATCTGCACCCCTGCCCTCAGGGCCCTCAACACCCCCCTCAGACCTGCGCCTGAGCCCCCTGACACCATCCACTGTCCAGCTGCACTGGTGCCCCCCGACGGAGCCCAACGGGGAGATCGTGGA